CCATTCATGTATCGTAGGTGTATGAATTCAGCAGTATATTTTTTAATACTAAGTATAATAAAATTAGTACAATCATTGGCAATGGATTACATGCTACATGATTAATGAGTTGGTTTAAGTATACAATAGATATTTATTTCTAACAGTTCAGGATTTGGGAAGTCCAAAGTCAAAGTACAGTGTCTAGTGAAGATCTAGTCCCTTCTTACAACGTGGTGCCATTTTGGCTAACACTATTTCTTCATCTGGAGGAAAAGTAGATTGGTTAAAGGACTTAAATGAGTTTCTCCAGGTCTTCCATAAAGCATTAAGGACTGATGATTTTAAAATATCAATTTATACAAAAATATAAAGTGGAACATTCTGATTTCTTGGCAGCAAAGCAGTAAAAAAACTTTACAGTATAATGTTAAGTGTTATAAAATGATTGGCAGTTATAATGAAAATACAAAATATCAGGAGACATAAATGAGCTGGAGTCAATTTCATCTTGTCAAGATTCAGGATAAATAAAAATCAGAGGAGAAAGATCCATCGCCGCAGCATGGTTAAGGTTCATGCTGTCAGTGTCATCAGGGCAGATGAATGCTCAGTACTCCAAGACGTATTTCTCTTCTTATATGACAAGATATTAGAGCCCATTGCATTTCTTTTTTTCTAAAAGTTGTGTCAGTGGCTAAAAATTTCTCACTCCCTCAAGTTTTTGAGACCGAAAGTTATAAAACCAAAAAAAATAATTATAGTGTCTAGTTATAACACAATCTAACTCTAAATTAAAGAATATATGGTGTGAGTAAAGTCATTTACATGTGTATATGTGTCTATGTTGTTCTATCTTGCTGACATTTTCACTTGACGTAACACATATCCACTATTAATAGGATCCAGAGAAATAAACTGAGGGGAGAAAGGTACCTGAGTGAGAGCAGTTTTCTATTGTCCCATAAAAAAATCGTTATAAACTTGGAGCCTAAAATAAGTTCCTTTAATTGCCTGACTGTTTTGTAGGTCAGAGTCTGGGTGGAATACAGTGGGTTTTCCACTTAGGGTCTGAAACAATATAAATTAAAATGTCAGCAGTGTTGGGTTCTCTCTTCTGGAAGCCCAGCAGGAAAACAGCTGTCTGCAAGTACATTCAACTCATAGGCAGAGTTCAGGTCCTTGTAGTGCCAGACTTGCAAGGACTCATGGGATTGGACCAGGGTCCACACAATCTTTTGATGAACTCAAGGCCAACTGATGAGCAACCTTAATTGTATACACAAAATCTCTTTGTCATGTAAAATACCATGATCATGGGGGTAGCCAGGGGGTAGAGATCATGAAGGCCATCTTGGATATGGCTGATCAAGATCTCAATGAAGAAATCTAAGAACTCTAATCTGGTGGCTAGCTGAGAGCTGTGAGATTTCACCTTGTGTTGTGGTATCACGAGGTCCAAAACAGTCTAATACATTATTCATCTGAATTCCTTTGTGATTTCTTGGAGGTAGGGGGTTTATTAGCTACTACCTTCATTTTTATAAGTTAGAAACATTTTTTTCACACACAAGAGGACAGTAGATGATACATTGTGACCTGTAGCTCTCAACTATCCCAGTGTCTTTGCTTTTATTTCACAAGAACCTATTTTGGGTCTGAAACTGCAGTGTAACCAGCCACTCATACTGAACAGAACACCTCCTTTAGGTGTGTTCCATGGAAACTGAGGTGTTATGCCCAGGAAAGGTCCTCTGTATGATGGCCAGGTGACCGATATGTAACAGGGCTGTGATTGGACTCTTTCAAGTGGCTGATGGTCACACTTCTTTTGTACATTTTGTTCCAGCCCCAGAGGGCAATGACCATAAAGTCACTCCTGAGGGCACTGACAAGCATGCCTCCCCACTACCGCTGCCTTTGTATCAGCCACCTCATCGGATGGACTGCCTTCCTGTCCAACATGCTCTTCTTCACAGATTTCATGGGTCAGGTAAAGAACAAGTCTGCCACATACTCAGTGGCTCACACATAAGCCCTTCATCCATGCTTTCTTCTGGGCTAGCCTCTAGAATACAGTAGAGTATACAATAAAGGACGGGAAGAGTATGAGAAAGAATACCTTTAAGAGCTATCTTACAGACAAGTTTTGGAGGCAGGGTGCTACGTACCTTTACAACTAGAGGACACTATAAGAACTATTAGTACTTGATTAAATACAGCAAGTAGGGGCCAATCAATGTATTGTAGAGCTCCCGGCAGGCTGCGTAAAGAGGCCCATCGTGATCTGGCCTTGAAGGATGAGTAGGACTTGCAGAAATGTAGAAGAAGGAGAACACATTCCAAACAGGAAGAGAAATGGCATCTGTAGAGATGAGTCAAAGGCTCCAGAGGAGGGGTGGAAGGATTGCTTGAGTCAGGTGAGGCCATATGTGAGTGGAACAGGGGTGACAAATACCCAGAGGAGCATTTCCAGACTTGAAGCATAGGCATGAGACTTCCTGAAGGCCTGGGGTGGGCTTGTGGTTGGAAGAAAGTGGTGACTGGCTCATGAAACAATGAGCTCTGTGGCCTAAGAGGGGCCCTGTGGGCAGCTGCATGATGGTTGCTCTTCCCCAGGTGGATAAGCAGAGTCCACGAGCAGGAGGCCCTGCAACATAATATTTATAGCTCACCAGCCCTTGCCCTTTCTTTCAGATTGTGTACCGTGGGGATCCCTACAGCCCACACAACTCCACAGAGTTTCTCATCTACGAAAGAGGGGTCGAGGTTGGATGTTGGGGTTTGTGCATCAACTCTGTGTTTTCTTCAATTTATTCTTGTAAGTCTTCTTCTCCAGAGAGTGTCTTCTAGAGGTCTCTGGTCTAACAGAATCAAGAGGGTTTTTTTTAAATTTCTCTATCTATTTTCTTCTCAATAATAACAGACTTGTGACAAATATACGGATGTCAGGCAAAACTTAGACAATGCTACAGGAATTGTTTATTCTCATAGTGATTTCTACGTGTCATTTCCCTTGGTAATTACTTTGTGTTTGGGGACTCTGCATTCCTTACCAAAGTTTCTTGGAAAAATAAAACAGAACCTTTTAAAACCCACAGAAAAACATTAGATGGATGAGAGAGTATTCCAGCCAGTTGATGTTTTACTGGAGCAAGCTGTGTTGTTGTGTGGTGTTTCAGAGATGTGTTAATCAGATTTGTAGATGGCACAAAACAGAAAGGATGGTAAAAATGACAGGTGACAAGAGTGTTATATAAAATAATCTTAGCTCTGATGTTCCTGAATCCATGTCACAGAACCACTTTCCTAAGACTGAGAACAACTTCTCAGGCACCAGCTTCCAAGACGTGTGAGCCTCTTGGTTCTTCAATTAGCTAAGTTTCCACTATGAGGCCATGGAATACAGGGATTTCTGCCATTGGTTTCAGTGAAGTCTGTATTTAGGTCTATAGTTCTACGGCTTCACACAGGTTGAATGGGTGCTTGCTAATTTCTATGGGGAGCTCTAAGATCTTTGTACACTGAATCAAATAAAATACCTCTCCTGAAATATTCAGGTAGGTTTTCTGCAGTGGAAATTTGGGTCCTCATAATAATGACCTCTTCTGCTTTCTCTCTGCTCCTCAGGAGCCTTGAGAGGAAAAGCTCACTCTTAGCTCAAAGCTCCAGATTTTTCACAGACTCAGGGACAGCAGTGGTGTGGCCCAGGTTGAGGAAGAGGAAAGAGATGGGAAGAAGTATGTTACCGTTCACAGGACACATACCATCATTCTTAAAGGGGGAAAAGGTTGAGCCCCTCTCTGCTCTTCTGTCATCACACAACAGGAAACCTCTTCTAAATTAGCTCAATATTTCCACAATTGGGAGGAGGTAGCCTAATATAACATCAAGGAACAAAGAGTCCAATAATCATAGAGCCATAACATTAGTATTTTGAAATTTATGCTGATCAAATAGTGATGACTTGAAGCTTACCTGTCTTTGGAAACACTTTTTCCCCATCTCAGAATATATGAACTAAGAAAATACAGGGAGGAATATTCAAATACTTAGAATAGAACCTGAAAGTGACAGACCAAAAGGTTCTAATAAATTATTTACTTGAATTCCTTGGTGATTTCACAGGGCAAGGGCGCTATTTCCTACTTCCTTCATTTTTGTAAAAGGAATACATTTTTCCCACAAATAATTATATTAGCATTTTAACATTGTGTCAATTTTAATTTTTTTCTCCCCAAGGAAGTCCTAGTAGGGGTTCAATTAGTCTAGCTTGAATTCCCATATGAATTTCATGACATTTTAGTTTTAAAAGGCGTTATCTTTAGTCCCTTTCTCATGAAAAGCCCTGTTTGATATAAATTATTATTTAAATAATCTTCTAAACTTTAATAATGTACACATTTATGATATCCTTACCATTGTGAATTCAAACCAAAGTTTTATTTATGAAATACCAACCATGCCTGCTCTTTATGCCTACAGGACAATGTCTGTGCCTCGAACCTGGCATTTTAATATTTTCACATTGGCTTCAATCACTCTTTGACTTCTATTGCTGGATGCAAATTAGCTGCCCCAATGACCTGGTGCACAGACTTTCCTGTCTGTGTAGATTTGCACTGATTTTAGTTTCTTCTGACTTCTCCTAGCCCTCCACCAACACAGTTCCTAACAATGCCCTTTGACCAACCTGAAATATTACTTCCTCTATGAAACAATGCAAGATTTTTCCCCTGTACACTCTCCCACTCTGGACCGAGTCAGTCATTTCTGTCACTTCCAGACCACACTCTAGTGCTCTCTATTTTGGATTCATCTAACAGTGAATGTAGCCCCAGTGTCTTTATCCAAGGCAGCTCAACAGGGGAACCTTGAGGTTGGGGTGGGCTGTGACAACAAGGAACTTTTTTTCAATATCCTTTTATATAGCAAGACACAATTATACCAATCAAAGTAGCAGTCATAATTGTTCATAATGGACAGTAATATTCTTGGGTGATTAAATCAACAATTTTCCTTTAACCCTAATGAGAACACTACAGAAGGAGATGGCTAGTCCTAGCTATCAGATCTCAGAGGACATTTTATGTTTGGCCCTGAAATTTACTGATGTCTCTAGTAAAGAGAACATCTATTGGTTAGACTCTCAATGTTTATATGAAGTTACTTATATTTCTAAATATTACTTTTATCCTTGGATAAGAGCTAAATATTAATGGTATCTATCAGATACTTAAGCACCAGAGATTACATTTTGTGCATAAACATAATCATTAAGTAAACAGGGTTATCCAGGCTTGTTAGGAGATGGATCTGCTTATAGTGCATCTATTTTCAACCTTAACGACAGCTCTCCAGACATGGGATGAATTTCACAGAGGATTCCATCTGCTTGTCTGTCATTTCTAGAGCTTATCTTTATACCCAGTGACCCCAGACAGTGTTTTGTCTCATAATTGATTCAAATGCACTACAAATCAGGTTTTTGTCTTTAAGGTATAAATCTGATGGTTATTTAGATAGAAATAGAAAGTTTCACTCCTGAATAGATATGTCAGCATCTATAATTGTCCTCCCATTCATGTGTACCAATAGAATTAAATAGAAGAAAAACAAGGAATACATAGATTTAAAAATGACTTTAAAAAGATTAATGATTTGGGAGACTTTTCCTTACTTTTATGACAAACATTGAAAATGTCTTGAAGTAAAATTTAATTAATTATGTAAATTGACTTCATTTCTACAGCTGTATGAACAAATCAAGTTGCTTGGAGAGGAACTGAATTAAGAATCAGCTATCTGCCGACCAGCCTGTGTTTGTAGAAATAGCAATAGCCACATTAACAGGGAATCTGCTATCTCCTCAGCATTTGGCTGGATTATATTTCAGATATTTTGATTCTGATAATAATTCCAACAGAGTTGTATTGCTCCAAGTTTTCTGGTGAGAAAGCAGAGGTGGTGCAAAGTTAAGAAATGTGTGTATGTGAAGGAGCCAGCCTTGGGCCTGGCAGGCCCTTTGCTAGCCTGGGAAGGGTTGGGAAGTCAGAGTGTCTTCAGAGAAGTGTACATCTTTTACTTCTTCCCCGTGTACATAGACTGTGCTCAGATGGGGACTGAGAAACTGAGTGACTTGGATCATTCTGCAAAAGCTCATTTATCTAATTTTCCCCAGATGTCATTGGATGGTAGGTTCAGGATAAGTATACATTATCAATGAATTGTTATTGAACTAGACATCTTGTGATTTCACTTCATTTATGTTGAGTTTCTTAAATAGTGCTGGAAAACAAATTAAACTCTTGCAAATGCTGGATCATTGAATCCTGTCCCAAACTCTGAGCTAGACCTCTGTAATCAGAATAACCCCCACTGTTCTTCCATGCCCTTGGGCTCCAAGGGCCCATAGCCAGTGTGGGCTTTTGTACAACCTCTTTTGCATCTTTCTGCTATTCAGCTGTTTGCTAAACTGTCTTATTCTCTATGGAAAAGAAAATCAGCTTAGCAAGGGGCTTTCAAGCTATCTTCTATGAGGAGGATTTAACACTGATAAGACAAATAAGCCAGCTGTTTTCAGCCACAGATAAGGAGGTTCTTTTGTTCCTAACTTGGTATCAGAAAAAGTCTCCTGAAAAAGTTCATCTTCAAAAGAAAAGATTGTCTGAAATTATTTGTGGGACACTGTCAGCTGTAATTTTTCCTTTCTTTTCTCCACAGACTCTCAGAAAGCTTTGGTATCCTACATCGGCTTAAAGGGGCTTTACTTCATGGGGTATTTGCTGTTTGGCTTGGGGACTGGACTTATAGGACTCTTCCCAAATGTCTACTCCACGCTGGTCCTGTGCACCTTGTTCGGCGTAATGTCCAGCACCCTGTACACTGTGCCCTTCAGCCTCATCACTGAGTACCACCATGAGGAGGAGAAAGAGGTGTGTGTTCATGGAATACCTCTCCTGGGTAACATCTGGACTTGCCTAAAGTTGTAGTGATTCTCTTGTCTCAGCCTCCTGAGTGCTGGGATTACAGGCATATACCACTACATGGGGATTCTGGGGTTGGCATGACATGTGATACATGGGGATTGAACCCAGGTCTTTGTGCTTGCCAAGCAGGTGCCTAGACCACCGAGCTATCTCCCTATCCTAAGATGAGTTCATTTTAGATGAGGCAATATATTCACATCACTCAACAAGCACAATCACAAACAAAAGTGTGCATTATAAATGACTCCTTTCATGATTTTGCTAGTCCTAGTTGTGATGTTCGTTACTACTCTTTATTATATTTTTATCTTTCCAATATTTTTAATTGAAAATCAAATATAAATTTATTTTCTTTTTCCACACAAGGTTTATCTTACTTAATGGTAAGTATAAGAACTTACCATTTAAAAAAAAAACTTACCATTTTAACTCTTAGAGACTCTATGTAATTATTAATCAAATGGAAATAACACCTATTATATGAAGTTGTAGAAGAATTAAGCAAGATAGTGTATAAAGTGTGCTTAGGATAGTGCTTATGTAGTATCTTTTGGATAAGAACTAGAGTAATGACATCTAGTACCTTTGTTGTCATGGGGATAATGATGCTATGTGCATTTTGGGCAGTAGTGAAGATGAAATAAAATAGTGATTATTTTTTAAAAAGTCACATGCTGCCTAGAATAAGAGAGCCCCAAATGGCAATATTCAATATTAATTAATGCTTGATTTACTAATTAATGCTAAATACAAGTTACTAAATAGTTAATACTGATCATTAATCAAGCAGCTATCTTTAAAGTGGTTGAATTGATTTTTATGTTGTTTCTCCTGAGTAGTTTAGTGGCTCAGCATCCTTTTGAAAATGTTTGAACCTTTAAGCAGGAAATGAATAGAATATACATTTTCTTTTTAGGGTTCTACCACATTGTATTTATTGACAACAGAAAGGATAATTTTGCATACATTTCTCGTTGAATCTTACATGTGTTAATGGTGGGTTTTAAGAATTTGGAACAGGTAGAGAAGAAAGCATCAAGCAGGGTGGAACGTCCCTGGTGGCTGTGAACCAAGTTTAGTGGCCAAAGGAGGCTTGGTGCCTGCTTTTGCATTGTCCATGATCAAGACTTTATTTTGCATTTTTAAATACTTAAAAAAAAATCCCAGAAAAGGATACTATTTTGCTAAAAGTAAGATCAACATGAAAAAAAAATGCTAATGTCTATAAAGTTATGCTGGAATGTAGTTTGTTTATGTGAAATAACTGTTTTGCACTGTAAAGAGTCACAACCAAGGCCTCTGACCCACAAAAGTATTTACTATCTGGCTTTTTGTAGAAGCAGCTTGCAGATCCTTGTCCTAGGTGACAGTTCCTTCCGCTCAAGTGTGTTCGTGTGCTTCCCTTGCAGAGGCAGCAGGAGCCGGGATGGAGCACAGGCGCCGGCAGCCCTGAACGTGGGAAGGGCGTGGACTGCGCCGCCCTCACCTGCATGGTGCAGCTGGCTCAGATCCTGGTGGGAGGAGGCCTGGGCTTCCTGGTCAACACGGCTGGGAGCGTCGCGGTGGTGGTGATTGCGGCCTCTGCGGTGGCCTTCATTGGCTGTTGCTTTGTGGCTCTCTTTATTAGATATGTGGATTAGGCCAAAAAAGAGCCAGTGATCTTACCCTCAATCGCGTGAAGCGCATGGCAAGCGAATCTGTCTTTTCTTTGCTTCTGCACCTTCGGAGTCTCCTCAGTGGGTGTCCTGAATTGTGATTTCAGCTGGCTGCATCTGCCCACCCCTCACGGGAAGTCCAACTCCCACGGAGAGCAGACCCATACTAAGCCTCACTGAGCCCCCCCTTCCGCACCTGTATGAGTGTGCACACACCACATGCATCTTCCTCGTTGCATCGTAGTGCAAAGGTGGGCACGAGAGGGTCTGTTCTGCACAGAGATCTTCAGGTTTTGATGACCCTGGAGAAGCAGACTAATTTTAGCTGTGATGCTTATATTTATTTTATAACATGCTCTTTTTAAAAGTCAACAGTCCTTATGCAGCTGGAGAGTCACACACTTCACCAAATTCACAAATACTAAAAATATGACTGATGAACTTTTATGATTTTGATTTATTGTATTTAACTGGCTCATAATTAATTTTTATTAATGCATGACATTCTGAGACGTCTGCTTGAATGTTCATGCTCATTTTATTACACAGTAAAGTTATTTCCGTTTAGTCTGCTCTGTTGTTTCCTCCTCTGGAGTTGATATGAAAATCTTTCAATGCTCTTCTCTCCCCAGGCTGAGCAGCTGTACTGCAGCCACATCCTTGCCACTGTCCCTCTGCAGGGAGGTTTTCAGCTATGTGGAAGCTGAGATGCTTACCAGGAACACCATGAGCTGTAGGGCTCAGCTGGGTTTGCATCTTGGCTTTGCTTCTCACCACTGAACTATTTCATCTTCCTAAGCTATACTCATCTATGCATTCTGAAGAATAATTCCTATACCAGAGACAGCAATTAGTGATATATAGCATGGAGTGTTTGCCACTACTCTAAATGTTGTGCCTGTGTCAACACTGCAGTTCTCACAGTTAATGCTGCTACTGCTGTCCATTTTTCAAGTGAAGAACACAAAGCAGGGAGGTGCTCCATGACTTATCTGAGGCTATGAGCTATAAGGGGCAGAGCTGGCCTTAGAATGCGGGATCTTGGTCTGTGCTGCTTACTGTAGGGACAGCTCCTAGCCTGGTGGCTGGCACTTGCTCAGGGGATGATGATTGGTAGCAAGCAACCGTCATGGTTGCAAAAGGCACATTGTCCCATCCCGTGTCCTTAGGTCTATTCCAGTCTTCATAATTGCTTCCCAACATGACTCTCAGTGTGCATGATTAATGCAGAATGGAAACTTGCCCTTCTGTCTTTAAAAGCTAAAACAGTCACATGATGCCTTTCCTACCTTATCTTGGAGCCTGATAGTACAGTTACTGCCCCAGGTGAGCTTCTAATTGACCAAACCCTTCAGTGCTGCCAAAGAATTTGAGAAAGAATAACTTGGCTGAGGGGATGTTGCCTCTTGTCAGTCTCTTCTTCTCTGCCTGCTCCTCTGTGTCCAGCACTGTGAAAGTCCTGGTGTGCACTCTGGCATTAGTATATCCCTGGCCACCCATGCCTTGCCACTCTCTAGCACTCATACAAATAGCTCTCCAAGCTGCTCCTTACACCCAAAGGTAAAGGACTCAACAGTGCACCACTTCTAGAAGTAGGACTCAGACAGGGTCCCACAAAGGTCTTGCAGATAGACTCAGCATGATTTGGATGGAAATTCTGGGATCTCACATGCAGAAACATGGCCTAGGGTGTGGGAGAGGTAAAGAACCATGTGTTCTTCACCATGTGGAGAGGGGCCTGGCTGGAGGAGTGGGGAGAGCAAGGGCCTCTAATGATGAGATTCAGGTGCCCTCGCTGCCCGGGTCTAGGGGAAGACTACCAGGTCAGCAGAGCTTGCAGAGCTGACCACCTGTCATTCTCTATTGCAGCCTCCTTCCCCTCCCTGATTTCTCCATCAGCCTCAAAAGGCAGCTGTGTCCTTGTGCCTCACACTCCTTCCTTCCTGCTGCTGTTTGGATTTTCCCCTTGCTGCTACCCAAGTGCCCACTTTTTTGTTTATTTTATTTTACTTTTTTTGGTACTAGGGATCAAACTCAGGACTTCACAATTGCCAGGCAAGTGCTTATGCTGCTGAGACAGCTCCCTGGCCCTATTTTTTGTTTGTTTGTTTGTTTGTTTGTTTGTTTAAAGAGCCTGTCTCTGCTACTACTTCATCATTGAGCCTGTGGAACACCCCCCAACCTCTTCTCATTTTTTGTACTAGTGCCCACAGTAGCAAAAGAATACACTTCGACACACATTCCTAAGAATTTTGAGTTGCCACCACACAGCATCCTAATGTCAAAATCAAAATATCAAGTTGCTCTAATAAGAATCTCTCAGTTAGTGTCTAAAATTGGTTGATGAAAATAAATAATCTGGCACAATAATAGATAGTTTATTTTTTACTTTGTTGATTTTTCATGTATTTTGGAGATTTAGGGGGTTTATGTTTCATCAGTCCAGTTGCTAGTCAATATCAATAAGTTTTACCCATGAAAGATAAAGGAAGGCAACAGTAATGACCTTGAGACACAACCACTTGTCAGTTTGCTGAAAGGCAACTTCTCAAAACTTGTAAGGATTGAAATCAGGCAGCTTTTGTTTCTGGAGGAAGTTATACAAATATTTAGTTATTGTACTGTGTTGTGTTACAGACAATGGGAAAAAGGATGACAGAGTAGTAGATCTCATATTTTGAGCTTCAAATCTCAGACATTACAAAAAATCTCAACAGAATTACTAAACAATTCTACAGTTTATGAAGTTATATAGACAATTTTCTAATGATGTTTCATTGTATCAAAATGATCACACTTGGAGGTGCCTGTGTTACCAGTTTCTTGATCCCTAAACTAAGCAGCCAAAGAAAAGAGTAGCACCTCCATCAATCCTGACTGGCAGGTGGATGGGTTCATGTTTGATCTCAGTTCTCAGAACAGCTTCAAGCGAGGACTTTGTGAGGATCGCAGCACCATAAGCTGCTGCACAGACAGAGTGTTGCCATGAGAAAAGTGAGTTACTTTTCAGAAAGGCCCCACTGAGTGTGTGGAAGTTAGGGAAGAATTCAACATGTGTACGCCAAGTGCAAAGCATTCTTTAGAATAAAAGGACTTTGCTTAGCTATTCTCTTGTGGGAATTCTTATTTCTTACCTTCTCTTGTCAATAGTATGAGCAACAGGGAACCTCACACTTGAAATTCTGGTGGTCCTTTCAGGACCACCTCTCCAGTATTTTCTTCCCTTTAGGGTGGCTGTACTTCAGTCTTCAACTCTTTTCCCCATATTTCTGCCTCTTCTTGAAAGAACAGATCCCTACTTTTAGAAAGGCCCTGCGCATTTCTATGAAATTTCTTACTCTTCTATGCATACTCAAACCTTACTGGCCATCCTTCTATTCTCTGGTGCAGAGGCTGAATCAAAGAAGCACCCCAACTTCTAAGCCACGGAGATTGGGGGCTGTTGATGTGCCCCTGATCCCCAGAGAGCTTTTGAAGATGCTTCTGAGTACTTCTCATTTACAGTATAAGAGCCCAAGGGACCCAGAATCCTTGTTCTCAAGGGATCTGGTACACCCAGCTTCCACAGTGCTGCCACCTGCTCAATTCCCAGCAAGCACTTGAGTCCCTTTAGGAGCAGTAGCCTACAGACATTTTTGTATTCAGCCTGGATAATTGCACCATCCTGATTTGCATTAAGGTCACTCCCAAATGAATCTCTCTTTCATTTGGGACAGACCTATTGCCTCTGTGACATCCACACTCAGAGGCAGCAAGCCTGCAGTCAAGCTCAGCTTGTACCCAGTTGCCCAGTTGGAAACATAGGCATTCCCTGGGCTTCCTTCTAGGTCAGACCAACATGGTCAGCACTTTCTACCAACTCTGAAAAGGGTTCTTCCCTCCCAACTCATTCTCTGGGTAGCAACTTAGACCTTTGTTTCTCCATACATTCTTACAGGCCTAAGAGCAAAGAGGAGAGATTTAGGGGCAATTTTTCTGACTGATGCAGCTTTAAGAGTTATCAAGGGCTCCAAGAACATCCCTGGAATAGATGCCCAGTTAACTATGTTCATCACTGGGCTGAGGCCTGCCCCTGTGCCCCAATTTCTCCATTTTCTTGATGCTGCTGTTTCTGGGAGCTCCAGTCCCCAGGGTAGGTAGACAGCACAAGGAGAGGACACAGAGTTGGGATCTAGTGGAGAGCCAGGGCTAGTGGCCAGGTCCTGTGGCATGCAGGACTTTGACTCCTTGTTCAGCTTCTTCTCCTTGCCTGGCCTTGTAGGCTTTCTTCTCCAGAGAAGACCCTCCAGGCTGTTCACAGGTAGCCCCTCTACCTTCTCCCGATCCTCTTTCCTCCTACTTCTTGAAGTGGGGCCCCTCAGTCTCCAATAAGACACTGCTTTTTCCCTGTTCAGGGTTGGGGGGCTTTGTTCTGCTGCATTCTTAGAGTCTTACTTGTTATCAGTAGGCTGAGCTGCTGGGCAGCAGGTCATAGCGCCCCCCACTGTAGACCACCACGCCCGGCGGGTAGTAGAGCAGGTCAGGCTCTGTGCCTGTCTGGAGTGGTGCCAGGGCCTGCAGCCGGTGACCTTCTGGCTCCGGCTTGGTGGTGGCAGTGAAAGGACGCATGTTGGTGAGAGAAGGTGAGGCGAACCGCCAGAGGAGGTTCTTGAGCGCCTTGCGGAATTCGCGGCGCACGAGGCAATAGAGGATGGGGTTGAGGCAGCTGTTGGAGTGCGCCAGGCACACACTCAAGGGGAACATGTACACCTGGCATACAAAGTACTCCTGGCTGAAGGGCACCACATTGAACTTGATCAGGATGCTCCAGGTGGTGAGGGCCTGGTTGGGCAGCCAGCACAGGAAAAAGGACAGGACCACAATGGTTACTGACTTGGTCACCTTGGACCGTCTCCTAGCGCTGGCTCCAGTCGGGCCTCCCCCAGCCACTGCCTCTGTGCCCACCACACGGCGATCGGAGATGAAACGCACCAGCAGCAGGTAGCACAGGCTGATGATTCCCAGAGGTAGCAGGAAGCCCAGCAGCACCTTCTGCAGGTGGTACAGGCCCAGCCAGAACTGCCTGTCACGGCCCAGCAACTTGTCCGGGAAGCGCACCAGGCACAGCTCCTCGCCCATCACCTTGATAGTGGTGGAAAAAATGGCATTGGGCAGCGAGCCCAGGGCGGCCAAAGCCCAGATCAATACACAGAGCGCCCTGGCCGAGAAGCAGCAACTATCTTCCAACCTCTGGCTGCAGCAGTCGCCACGGCCGTGCCCTCCGCTCCGGTGGCTCCTAAGAGCCGAGGCCACCGAGTGGTAGCGTGCCACACTCATGGCGGTGAGGAAGAAGACGCTGGCGTACATGTTCATGGACGTCACTACAGACACGATCTTGCACATGGCCTTGCCAAAAGGCCATTTGAAGTCCAGCGCGTTTTCCACCGCCCAGAAGGGTAGCGTGAGCACGAACTGAAAATCCGTCAGCGCCAGGTTGGTGACAAAGAGGTTGATGGAAGACTTGCGCCAGCCTTGCTTGCTCTTCATCAGGTAGAGCACGAGCAGGTTGCCCGCCAGCCCCAGCGCACAGACCACCCAGTACACCGCGCTGATGAGAACGCGCACCCGCGCCTCCGTGTTTGAGCTCTCTGACCCGCCGCTGCCCAGGGGATGCCCTGGCGCCGCGCCATCAGGCAGCTCCAGCCCCAACTCCCACCATAAATCCTGAAGCTGCAGAGACGCGTTGCCACTCACGTTGGCAGCCTGCAGAATGTCCGGGACCAGTCTGAAGAGTTCTGCGAGCTCCTCCCCTCCAGCAGCCTTGCTCATGGTGGCCGCCGTGGTTGCAGCAGCCACCCGCATGCACAGGTTCCTCTAGGCCATGTCTGTGGAACAGGCAACTGCGGTAGCAGGCTCTCCTCGCTGTGGACCCCGGCAGAGCGCGGCGTGCGCGGGAGCTTTCAAAGCAGCAGCAGAAGACAGCGCCTAAGACCTGGGTACTTTCTGCGCCCTGCGCGCGGGCAGCCGTCCTGGGCTCAGGAGCTGAGCGGACGTCTGCCCTGGAGCTGAAATGGAGAGCAGAGAGCAATGCCCAGAGGGAGCCGGCGTCCACGGGTCTCCAGCCAAAGGCGAAGTCTCTAGGTTCCCGCTGCGCGACTGAGATCTCCCCTCTCGATTTCCCGGTGCCACTCGGGCAGTGACGCACAACCCACCTGCTGCTCGGGACGCGACTCCGAACCGCTCCTCCTTCCGAGACCTCTGTTGCGGACGAGGTTTCTGTCCTTTTAGAGAAAAATAGAGATTGGGAAGTTGCTTCCCCCGCTCTCACAGCCTGGAGGTCTGCAGGTGTCTCGGTCTCTGTGCAGTTAACTCCCAGTGAATTGCAGAAGCCGCTTCGCCCAGTTACGTTCTCAGGCACCTACAGAGCCGAGGCGGCGAGCCCCAAGGAGCATGCGTAACCCATGCGGGGAAAGGGGGCGCTTTCCGAGGTGCTGAACCCCGAGGCTCTTGCCACAGCGGAGGAGGAAAGGTGGGGCTGCCCTTTTAGTTTTAAAAGTTTTAGAAGGAAAGGGTAGTATTTATTTTCTTGGATTTGATTTGGGTTCCTTCTCCCTTTATTCTCAAATACTAGTACTTTGAAGGTTTTTTTCCTTTCTTCCCCGCCCCCCATTTGGTGAAAGATGGTTCTGCAAATCCAACTCCTGACCACTTCCCGTTTAAAAGCATGCAGAGTACAGTCACTATTCAGCGACATTGGACGGGCACCAGGATCCGTCTTCGAGGATGAGTCCTTATTGAAAACTCAAATGCAGGCTCTGCTTCCCTTTTCTGAGCTGGTGTCTGGATGTCAGGGTTTCCAAGGGGTCTTCGGTGTAGTCTAAGCTGAACAGAGCAAGGGATTTGGTTGCCCGCTTCACACAGGTCAAATACCACCTGCATAGCCAGGCAGCCCAGGCTCCTGGATGTATGCCCCACAGAGCCTTTATCTGAACTCAGGTAAAATCATAGATAATAGAGCTATTATTTCCTCTGTTTTGCTACTATTAAAATCAGGGCTCTAATTGATGTTTTTCAGACCAAAATTCTAAGGAATGGAAGTCATTTGTGGTACTTCTTAAATTGTAGCTTGTTTAAATGCCAGGTCAACTGCTCTGGTGTAAGTTATATTTTTAAGGATGGATTCATGGAATTTGAAATGTTTTCTTTACTGGCTGGCATGAAATTGGAATAAAAATATTGTAAGAATAGAGTAATTATCTTCACACGTGAGCTCCTGACCTTGCTCACAGAGATTAAGAGATGAATTTCTAAAACAGAGGAGACTAACACCAACAACAAAAGACTCAGTAAAAAAAGAAACACAGTGCTCGAAACGTGATGGGACCATAGAGACAACCATGATTCCGAAGCCAGAACGGATTTCCAAGAGAACCCTTCGCTGTAGACGCTGTTTTCCCGCTAGAGGGCGTAAGGGCTCTAGTAAAAACCAAACCAAGTTACGCCTCTAATCAGGTCTTGAAGATAAAGCCAAGCTATAGTTGCTTCTGTGGGTGACTCTTATCATTGTTCTAGTGGCCTCAACTTCGCTTTCACTATCACGTTTCACTTTTTAAAAACCTAACCAAATTTCATCTATTTTGTTGCGTTTATATTTCCGAGTGCTGCTGAACCTCGAAGAGGCACAAGGCACACACTGAAAGACCACTGGTTTAAAATTTTGGTACCTTCGTCCAAGCTCACCATCCCCGCCACTGCAGCACCATCTCTGTGCTTCTAGTCCCATCTCACAACATAACTGCTTGGCCAGCCCCAAATTCGACTTCCTGAAGAGTACTGCAGGACCTTCACTCAATTTGATTCAGGTTCACCAGCGCTGGCTCTTAGTACTGAGCTAGGCTGACACGTGCATGATGAGAGTCTTCAATTCTCTCTGGAGCTTTCATCTAAATTAGTGTGCAATTTAGTAATGTCTCTGACTGTATTTTTTGTTTAGTCTTGTGCATGACTAAGCCATAAAGAATGTAACAATGTGTGCCAGATGCATGAACAATCATTTTGGCTCTTTGATTTCTCTTTAGGTTTTGATGGGTGGATGGGTAACAGGCAGTTATAAAATACGTGGTGAGCTGTTCCAGTTTCCAGTTTTTACATTTCAAGCCTGTTGCACATGTATGTGTATTTGAACAAACCATAAAAAGGCGGAAAAGTACTCATGCTACGTAGTCTATTTCTCTGTCCTCCTTCTCCCTCAAATTAAGATCAGGGTGTGATGGGAATCTGGAGGAAATTCTCGTTAGCAACAGAAGTCCCTTATCCCTCATTCTGAAATGTTGCCTGGATGTCTTTGTGTTTCTGGAGTCACATGGGGCATGGGAATTCTTGAGTGAGACCAGAGGAAAAGCATACCCCAGCCTACATCCCCTGGGAACCCAGACTCACAGGCTGTAGTAAATCATTAGCTTTAGCCCTGGGGCTTTGCAGAGCAGTCCTGGAGATATAAAGGGACTTACTTAGGATCGCATTAGTAGGAAATTGGCACACTAGGCCTGACCCATAATTCCTTTGACTCTTAGGTTACATCCTGTGGTCCATTTTTTACTACCCATTTTTAAAAATCTTTTATTTATTTATTTGGTACAGGGTCCTGCTATGCAACAAGATCAGTAGTGACCCTCCTGTCCCATGCTCCCCATCTCTGGGATTGCAGGCATGCACCAACATGTCCATTTTCAATGGCCTGCTCCACACAGGGTTGGCATGGCATGCAGTACAGGGATCAAACCCGGGTCCTTGTGCTTGCCAGGCAGGCATTTAGACCACTGAACTATGTCCTTAGCCCTCCATTTCCCAACTTAGATCTAACTCTTTCATATTTTTCAGCAATGCTGAGAAGTGAACCCTCAAATATGTCTGCATCCTAATCCCTGGCCTCTTTTATATTAATTTATATAGTGAATAGGACTTTGAAGCTGTCATTAAATCCAAGGATTTGAGAAAAGGAAGAGGGTTGTGGGCTGGGCAGGTGGACTCAGTGGACTTCCCAAGAGTCCATAGGATTCAGGGAGGGGGAATCAGTGTCAGCGGGACAACTCAAGCAGGGATGTGTGTAAAGGTCTTCGAAGAGGAGACCGAGAATGCAAGACAGAAGAATAAGAAGCCACTAGAAGCTGCAAAAGCTAAGGAGGCTTCTCCACTAGATCTCTCAATAGATCTGATGACACCTTGACTTTGTGCCAGTGAAACTGATTTTAGGATTTTGATCTCTAAAAATGTGAAACAGTAAACTTGTCTTATTTAGGCCACTGTATTTGTGGCAAACTTGTTACAGCAGGAATAGAAACCAGTGCAAGATGTTCACACTTGTTTTATATTGTATCACTCATTCACCCGTTCACCACATGTTTATTAAGTACCAGCTTTATGACAGGTACTGTGCTATGAGCACAGTAATTTAGTGATAAATAAAACTCCTGGAGGAGCTGTTCTGACAAATGAGCCTAACCTTTATGAGTTGCATATTATAATTATATACGAAGAACTACCAAATAAAACAGAAAGTATTGCAATAGCAAGCAGAAAGAGGGAACAACACCCAGGATTTGGAGGCAGATTTATTAATGTCAATGGACACTAATTGGGATAATTCACAAAATGCACTTTGATCTCTGGTGTAGGGATTATATGCGGTAAGCAGGCAGGAAGTACAGAGGCAGAGTGGCTGGTCAGTTGGGGATTGGCTTACACAATGTGCATCACAGGGACCAGCTCTGCATCACAATGTCCAGCTGTTTATAAGAGACCAGAAGCAGCTGGAACTGGAATAAGAACTACTACCTGGGCAACTAAGAAACTTGACTATATTCTCTTGTGGGGGGAACATCTTCAGCTACAGTATAACCATAGGTAAAAGTTGTAAGTTTTAATTCTCTCTGAGCATATTTATTCAATAAAAATGATACCTTTTCAAATTCAAGGTTTAAAACAATATGATTTACATAATTGTTGTATATATATTTAATGATAGAATTTTCTCCCTAGAAAAAATATTAATGCATGATGTAACTTCTAACCTACAGTAACTTGGAAGAAAGAAAATTCATTAAGCAGGCAAAGGAAAAAGGAAAGCCAGAAAAGAAGGGCATTCTGGGCAGAAAGTATATAATGGGTGAAAATAGCCAGGGACATAGCTCAGTGGCATAAGCACCTGCCCAGCAAACACAAGTTTCTGAGTTCGATCCCTGGTATAAGAAAAACAGCGCTACATGGGATGCAGGAGTCAAACGCTATCTCATCAAAAACTTTTAATATTTCACCTTAGATTAACTATAGGGCATGACAATTTTAAAACAGGAAGCAAGATCAGTCTTGTGTATTTGACTTCCACCCCAATTGTCATATGGTAAGTGAACTGCAAGGGCAAAGATGAATGCAAATTAAGTCCGTGTCCTTTTAGTCACTTTCCTTCCACTGAGACACAGCACCCAACACCCACAAATGAAAGGAGGAGAAGCTTATTTAGCACATGGTTTCAGTCCACAGTTGGCCAACTCTGCAGCAGAAACAGCATGGCAGGAGCACATAGTGGGGGAATCATGATACACAAGAAGCAGAGAGAAGGAAGAAGCTAGGAAGGGAAACCTACCCTTCCATGCCCCGCCCATGACCCACCTCTTCTGGCCAGACCCCACCTCCTAACAACAGGTCAGAGGTCCCCCATGATTTAATAACCTTTCAAAACCCATCCCATGGACTAATGAGGCTTGTGGGAAATAATCTTGATCTACGCCATCGCATTCTACCTGTAGCACCAAAGAAAGTCGTGCACATTTCTTTGTGCAAAATGTATGTAGTCCAACTCCAGGGGCCATAGTTATGGTTTATATCTAGTG